CTCCATACATTTATTGTCAGAATATTTATCTTTTTATATATTTAAATAAAATAAAGAAAGATATATTCCTGTCGCTAATGTAAAAACTGCTTGTTCTCACATCCTACGAATGCATCTAATAAATTATGTTGAGATCATTTGCATAATAAATAGCAGCTTTATTAAACCCTTGTAAATAATACCTGGTGCAGAATCAGGACCTCCAGCCTCACCTCCAGCGCTGTAGCATTTATTCCCGCAGCTGCTACCTGTCACACCAGCAGCGCCATCATTCATTACAATAAGATATTAAGACACTCAGTAAGAGAGAGCTGTATGAGAGGAACATCTTCCATCATACTCTTATCGTACAGTGTGCGGTGTCTAGCAGCCCATCAAATTTAATCATGATGATCAAGTGGTATTATCGACTGCGGTTGTAACATACAGTGTCCGATGTGTTTGGACAGTCGAAAGCCTCTCATGCTGAACAGTGTTTTATGCTAAGGGATCTTGTGCTCACTCAACTGCCTTTTAATCTTAAAAAAATAATCAACAGTGTGATTCATTGACAACCAAATATGGGATCCTATCTTGGACCATCAGTTTCACTGTGAAGTTCACTGATGTATAGTATTGATTGCATCAGGGAGCCCTCTAATCAGAATCATGGGGAAATCAATAGCTGGCATTGCCTGTGGTCCTGTTCATGCTTCAGTGTACACGTCTGAAGTAAACTCCCCTGCGCTGAAACACTCCGGCCATTTGCTTAAAGAAAATCGAGACTCGCTGCAATAGGGAGGAGTGTGGAGATAAACTGGAGGAGACAGACAGAGATAAAGAAGGAAAGCACTGAGACAGGTGAGGGAGAGGAAGGGTTATTCAACGAAAGGGGATTCAGTTTGATTGAAAACTGTTCTGCAGGTTTATATACTCAAAGCTTTAATTCATCGAACTTCCGGGGAGCAGGGGGATCAACAAGCTGCTGACCTCAACCTGATCCACAGGCGAGATCCAGCCGCCGAGCTGTCCTGCTGTTGTCACGTCTCGCTCCCTCTGTGCTCTGACCGCTCTGTTCCTTTGTCTCCCTGATCCCTCCATCTTCTTCCGGAGCGTGTCAAGTTGCAGGGCCGCAACATCGTGTGTCGACTCACCGCATTTCCCTGTTGAGGAAAGGGAGAGACAGGATGAGGGCAGCTTAACACATGGCTTTAGGTTGTCTGTTCGACGTATAATAGTCACAACCCATAAACTGTGATACATTCCCGAAGACAGCTATAGTCAATGAAGCAGACTAAGAAGAGCTCAGAGGAGCCGCAGAGAGACTCCTGGGTTTCCCCCAGCATCTGGTCTGGTGCCAGGGTGAGGCAGACTGCACCCCTGGCATCCTGCCACAGCAAGGCAACCAAACCATGCTGCTCACAGAGAGAGGACAACAGAGGAGAAACACATTTAGTGGAGCGGAGGATCCAAGAACAATAGGAGCCAGATGAAAGACGAGGGATTTTAAGCAAAGGAACATTGAGCATGGAAGGGGCACTGTGTATTTAACAAACCTATTTTATCCCAAAGCTCTTGAATTGTTTAGCAAAATATGTTTTTGAGGAAACATATTCTACATGGATTGAGTGAAATTTCGATCTATCCAAGGAAGTCAGAGCAGGAGTAATAGGATGAGGGCTGTGCTATGGATTTCTGTTTTGTGTCCCAAAAATTTGCTTTACACACCTTAAACACTTACAGTTAGGATGATATATTGAAAAAGTCAATAAGTCAGCCCTGACTTTTTTATTTTTTTATTTTATTCAAACCTGCATAAATTGATTTCTTGGATATTGGGGCAAAACAAGCCGCTACACACACAATGTGCATGTAAGCAAACGGTTACCCACAGACGCATCCAGAAAACACAAGGCAACATTGGAATTAAATAGTTTTATTTCTGACCACCTGATGAATGTAAGTCTACATTCACTCTGTTTTGGTCTCTAATAACTCCTGTGAGAAACACCGTTGTTTTTTTTAGTTCTACATGCTCCCTAGTTGGTCGCTAACTGTGTTTGTCTGTTGTTGGCGCTGGGCAGGTTCACACATTTAGCTTATCAGAATACTTTCACTGGAAACAGCTGCCTGCTGTGACTGGAAACAAGATTGAAAAGTGTGAACCAAAACTTGGTTTGTTGAAAACAATGAAACTGAACACAAAAACTGAACTGTGGCCTGTTCTCACTCCCAACTCTTCAAATACGTCAGATTCGTCCTAACCGTCAAATAAGATGTGTCATATTTATAAGTCAGATTATGTAATATAAAAAGCGATACAATTTGCATCAGCAGGAGGTTGAATAAGTAACCTAGCCCACTTAACTACATAAAAAACGTTTTTTAACCCGAACCATGATCTTTTTCTAAACCTAACCAAGTAGTTGTGTTGCCTAGACCTAACCTAATTGTTTCCTGTGAAAACGGAAGTCTATTTTGAAAAGACTGTATCCACATAACAAGGTGAAATTGACACGTGATAAAATTGAGGTGCTAAAATGACGCTCGCGGGGTATCTAGAGTGTCATGGTTTGAAGTGTAGGGCCACTGATCAAGCTGCTGTATTGACGAGTTGGTGACAACGTGTTGGTATTACACGTCACCGCTCACCAGATGATAACCACTGCACCGCGACAATGTTAACCAGAGTGAGGTGGAAGTGCCCCACCAGCAATCTGCACCAATCGCCACAAGGGGAGTAATTACCATAACATTAAATAGTGATAAACACCACTGCACAATGATCATCAGAACATCAGAGCTGTCACCGCACCATCCGTCAAAACCACGCTTCAGGGTAGCCACAGTCAGGTAGTGATACATTACAAGGGACAGAAACAGGTGCTACAATAGATTGTAATTACTTTGTTCTATCAATTATGTACAAACGCTTGCATGGCCTGGGGTCTGTCACACACCGCGGTGCCTCCTACTCATTCTCTGCACCATTTCCACTGTGACTACATAGTAGGCAGTCTTTCAACAGTGCTTTGCGTGGATGCCTTGAGGTGTCTAGAGAAGTTTGTTTCTCCAAGGCTGAATTCATACGGATTGAACAGTTCTAAACAATGAGGAGGAAAAAAAACCTACATTCTGCCTATCCCACTGACATCTGAATTCATGCGTTATATCCTCTCTTGTAAATTCTTTTCTCTTGCACTCAAGCATCAGTTTAGACACACAGGTGCTCTGCTGTTTTGTGTTTTCAAACAGTAACGGTCTTCCAGGCACTTGTGGTTTCTGCCTTTGTTTTGCACACTCCTCAAGTTTTCTCTGAGCTGCTCAGTGCACAAAAGCATTATGCTAATGCCAGGGTAGACATCTGCTGCCAGCTCAGTTTTTCCCGATGCGTTTAGGCATGTGTGTTTCACTACAGTAGGTCAAATCTGTAAAATGGAGGCATACACAAAAGAATTTCAGACTTAACCAGCTGCTAGAATGTATTCGTCATTTTAAAAAAGGGATGTTTCTTTTACACGCCCATCATAAAACAGCATGATAGTATGATAATGCATTAGGTTCAGTGTACTGTGTGAGTTAATGACTCCCGCTCCCGAACAGCATGTCATTCAGCGCTGAAGGTGTTCATGTATAAGGCAGGCAGCAACTAATAGCCATATTTGTTCAAATATATTTAGGTATTTAGGTCTTTTTCAGCAAGAGCAGTGTGACAGTGTCTGAGGATCAGATCAATTTTGATGCCAAAAATAAGTAAAACCATGAGGAAAAAGAAAGAGGAAAAGGCCTAATCTGAAAGCAAAGCACAAGAAAAATAAGGGGAAGGGAGCCACGTCGGATAGAAAAACAAATATTTGAATCAACGCTACAGTAGCAAAGCTGAAAATGTGAATCTCTGCTGCAGAACAGTGAATACTGTATATACAAAACAAGCACTAGTCAAGAACAAGTACTTGTCATTCTCATGAAGCAGTGTTTGTATAAATACTTCAGTCTTTACGTTAAAACTTATTTTTCTGAATTCCAATGGAGGGTTTAGCATATACTGTCTCAAAATTAACCCACAATAGAAAAAGTTTAAGTGGTATCTAAATGTCCCATTATCAACTTTAAATATGTGTATGTGGAGCCCTAGCCCAAATTTAAAAAAAGATTAATTAATTATCTGAGAATTCCAGGTGTTAGAAAGGGTTGGCATCTGGTCAGACATTAGATAATGAATTAGAATTATATTAGGACTTTCCAAATTAATGTTGGAAGCATATTGATTAACCTTAAGTTAAACTAAATGCAATTAAATGGTGGTGTGTATCTTCGTCGGTCGGTATAATAATTAAGATACAGTGTTTGAAAAGCAGCACAGGGAATGGATTGCATTTTGATGTATTTTTTCAGAAATAACCAACAAATTATAACAATTAATTTAGTCTGATAGACTTTATAGCATAAAGAGCACACACACACACACACACACACACACTGGCTTTCAATGCATTTGTATTGTGTGCCTCCAACCTCTCAGCAAAAGATTCACATCAGAGGTGTGTCTTGTTACAGCAATAAAAAGAACCATGCATTACCTCCACAATGTGTGTCATGTTTCCCAGCATGGTTGTTATCTGGACTGTTGCAATTATTTATTTATCTACCGTGTCACTTAATTAATTGAAGCCAGTTTTGGATGTGTGTAACAAAATGTATTCATTGAATGTTAAAATGCAATTTCTTAAAATGGTAAAGCAGAGAAAAGCAGCGTGTCCCTTTTTGTTTTTGGATCTGACTTTTAAACTTGTTCAACTACTGGAGGAAAAACAACATAGGCCTACACTGTATCTTTCTTAAATTACACAGGTTAGGTTTGTTCAACTGACAAGAGCCTGTTGTACCCTCTTTGGTATAGCTGATATCCAGTGATGTCTTTGAAGTGAGACACTAAATGCATTCAGGCAGCACACCTGCCAGTGAGCAACAGTCACAGACTGTTAACCTCAAGATCTGGAAGTGTCTGTGAGTCAACGAAGCTTCACAAGCTCTCTCCCCGTCTGTCTTTGTCAAAGTTAGGCTAAGAGCCTTAGGTTCATCTTTGTGATTGTAAGATCCACACTAAAGTGAGCTCAAGCACGGCAACCAGGCCCTGGCTGTAAGGTAAGAAAACTGAAAATTAAAGGAAGAACTAATAGTTTTAAGGCTTTTGTAGTCAATATTGCGCTATCGTTACTCTTGCAGAGCCTGTGTAACAATCTTGCTGGCAGTAAAATATTGTCAAACACTGTCTGTGTTGAAGTGACTCATAATGAGCACAGTAGTATTAATATTGCTGTTGAAGCTACTGAAATGATGCTGTATTGTTATAACATCAGTTGAAGTAATGATTACACAACGGCCTGACTCTAAAACTCTAAAATCTGAGGATGATTCTTAAAGAGGATTATATCATTCACTAAATTGGCAAATTAATTCCGTAATTTTGTTTTGCTTCCTTCCAAACATAGAATGCACATTACCGTTGCACAATGTCCATGCTGTGCCGTTGTTCGATAATGTTTTTAATGGTGCTTACACCAGAAAATGTAACACATCTTCCTGGAAAATCATGCTGAGTTCATGAAGCAGCTATTGGAAGTGTTTGTGCCTTTATTAAAGTACACCTTGTAAGATTATGATTCAAAGATATAGTACATTTAAACATGAGGTTTTGTTTGTCATGGTAAATAATAAAGTGAGAGAAATTACATATTGTTGCTGATGAACAGCAGCAGCATGCATACAGCACACAGTAACAGTAGTAAGTTAACCTACAACATTGTTGGAAAAATTTATGAAAATGAGAATCCAATTTACCATCGACATTATATATATATATATATATATATATATATATATATATATATATATATACACTTTTTTTATAATCGTAATGATAATAATAATAAAAATATAAATTAAGTAGCTGTTGTTGATTTCTTGTTGTTGAAAGGCTGAATGACTTTATGCCTCCGCTATGATTCTCCAGGTGTTACTGTAATAAACAGGAAGTAAAATTTAAAACCCCTGAAGGAAAACAATTTACAGCTGACTGACATATTGTTGTGTTTCTGTGTTTGTGTGCTGTTTTTCACGCAGACAGCTGCCGGAAAATGACCCTGCAATCATTAACTCCAGTGAACTGTGGAGGCCTTCTGCAGCCCGGCTTCTCTCTGCTGCAGCTGGATGGGGAACTTCTCCTGTTTGGCCAGAAAGGTTGGCCCAAGCGCTCGTGTCCAACTGGAGTGTTTGGCGTTCGGTTTAAAAGTGGTGAGATGAAGTTAAGGGCCATCTCTTTCTCCAATGACTCATGCTACCTTCCTCCATTACGTTGCCCAGCTGTTTGCCGCCTCGACCCCTATGACGGGCTTCCAGAGAGTTATCTCATCCACGGTGGCCGAACCCCAAATAACGAGATCTCGTCAAGCCTGTACATGCTGACCACAGACAGCCGTGGCTGCAATCGTAAACTGACCCTGTGCTGTAAAGAGAGAGAACTGGTGGGAGAAGTGCCAGGGGCCAGATACGGACACACAATGAGCATTGTTCAAAGCCGTGGGAAGACAGCTTGTGTATTGTTTGGTGGCAGATCCTACATGCCGGCAGGAGAGCGGACCACAGAGAGCTGGAACAGTGTCGTCGACTGTCCTCCTCAGGTGTTCCTGTTTGACTTGGAGTTTGGTTGCTCCTCTGCTCACACTCTACCTGAGCTCAGCGACGGACAGTCTTTCCATTTGGCCCTTGCCAGAGAAGACTGTGTCTACTTCCTTGGGGGTCACTCCCTCACCTCTGACTCTCGCCCTCCTCGACTATTCCGTCTACGTGTAGAGCTTCTGCAGGGCAGCCCCTTGCTTTCCTGTGACACTCTTGAAACGGGCATATCCATCTCTAGTGCCATGATCACCCGTACAGGTCCCACTCATAGATATATCATATTAGGTGGGTATAAGTCAGACTCCCAGAAGAGGATGGATTGCAGCACTGTCATTGTCAATGAGAAAGGGATCCACTTAGAGCCTTTAGAATCACCTCAGTGGACCCCTGACATCACTCATAGTCGCACTTGGTTTGGCAGCAGTGCTGGGGAGGGAATCGTCCTACTTGCTGTGCCCACTGAGGGAAGGCCATCCCAAGTGGATATGCATTACTTCTATCAGGTGAGCTTCCAGACAGCGGGAGAAGCCAGAGAGGAAGAAGGAACCCAGGGCTGCAGCCAGGAGTCAACCGATTACGACGACTCCACTCCTCTCGAAGACTCTGAGGAGCTCTACTTCGGTCGTGATCCACATGAGCTGGAGGACATTGATGATGGAAAAAGTGATAATTACAATGAGGAGGATGAGGAGGACGAATCACAAACAGGTTACTGGATCAAATGTAGTCTGGGCTGTCAGGTGGACCCCAACACTTGGGAGCCCTACTACTCCACTGAGCTTCACCGGCCAGCCATGATCTTCTGCTCCAGAGGGGAGGGGGGACACTGGGTCCATGCCCAGTGCATGGAGCTGTCTGAGACCCTGCTGCTCAGGCTCTCTCAGGCCAGCAAAAGGTACTTCTGCCTGGACCACGGAGGCGTGCCCCACCAGGAGATGACCCCACCTCGACAGGTCGAGGCTCTGAAGCGTACCCCCATGAAAGTTAAGGACAGAAAAACCCCTCCGACAATTAAGATGTCCCCTGCCAAAAAAAGCTTTTTCAGAAGGCTTTTTGACTGACATATCAAATGAAATAAACATAACATAACATAACTCCAGTTTAGGATGTGTGCAGATGGTCACTGGAACGCTGGGTATAATTAGGATGTTTCTTGTTGATATTCAGTGAATAAACGATTGATGAACGAAAACATAATACGCTGATCTGTTCTCAATGTGAAACATTTTGTGAAGAAAATAATAATAATATTGCAACCTGATGTCTCCTGACTAACAGATGTATGTATAATATCATTACAATTTTATATTGTTTGACAAAACACAAACAAACACAATATTTAGTAAGTCTAACTACAATGTCTCTAGTTTATGTTTTTACCAGCTGTACAATAGTTCATTATACTTTTGTATTCTGTTAAGCACCACAGGTTTTATTTCCTAGCACTTTCTTCCATGGCCAGATGGAGCCGAATTTGTTTAGATTGGTGATTAAAATGATGATTACAGACTGAAAAATACCCAATATGCTGATATATACTCAATAAAAAAACCATTAAACAGCCTCAGATTCTGTCTTCATACCTGTTTATTTTCTCAAACTTTTTATGTGACAGACATCTTGATATATATCAGTGTTTCTAGTTTGCATTTTTATCAGTTGTGCATTTATTCGCAGTTATTTTGTATTCAATCAAGGACCACAGTGAAAATAATGGGTTAAATTAACACCTTATAACATTGACTTCAAGCACCACATGCTGCATGTTAATTATAATAAATAATACCTAATATACAAGCAATAGTCAGGTACATCTGTAATTAATCAAAAGGCAAACCAAATGAACAACCTCAACCTAAATGTCTTTATAGTTCTTAGTTATCTTTTTTAATGGATTTCACAATCTGTATATGTGACGGATCTTAATGTTTTATATATCTCTGCAGTGTTTCTAGTTTGTGTTTTTGTTGGCTGTATGACAGTTCATTGTTAATTTGTTTTCTTTGCATTGTAGTGAAAATAATCAGTTGCGAGTGTACCTGAATTTTAAATTTTTCAATATCAAAAGACAAAATGTAATATAAATTGTTTCATAAAGAAAAACAAACCAAAAGCTCAAGTCAGGTTTTTTATTTATTTATTCTTTCATAGGAAACAAAGACAACAAGCATAAACTCCCTCCTCCATAAAGGTAACTCATCAAAATAATGGTAAGTTGTCTGCTTCAGTAAAAATACAGCAGAAATGTCTGAATACTCTATAACATTGAAAATGTAAAAATAAAGTAGTGGAACCTCAGTGTAATACAGTACCAGTATGCAAAATAAACCACCAGAGAAAGTCTCCAGCAATCCGAGTAAACAGTTCACTTGATATTAAGTTTAATATGGAAACAAAAAATGAGGAAATACATGGTGAAAAGTGAGCAAGTGTAATTCTGTGAATCATCCATCATCCATTACTTTGGAAATGCAATTCATTAGGGCAAAAAAGCAAATATGAGAAAAGTTGCACTCAAAAACGTAATGGTATTCTAGGAAAGTGACAACTACAGGATGACATGTGGATATTTCACAGCTGTCATGGTTAAACTTATGACAGTGAAATAAAATCAAACATTTAATCAAATAGGAAAACAAAATTGCCTGTCACAATTCAAAATGATGAGGGCAGAAAAAAACGATATAATCAATCAATCAAACAAATATAGTTGCCAACAAATCAGTTTACATCGGGTCTTTCTAGCTCCCGCTCATCCCTCTCCTCTGTCAACCGTGGCAATGAAGAAATATCAGCAGAGAAGAAGTGCCAGGTTATATACACAACTTAAAAAAAATCCCTGCCAGCTGGAGAGCCCACGGGGTATTAGGCTTCGTAATGGACCATACTGTATTTTTATGATATCAACAAAAAGGTCAGTATATGCTTTATTCCATGTGAAGAATATGAATAAGTATCATCTATCCTCCACTGTGCAAAGACTAAAAGAGATAAAAATTGGTTCAAAGTGACCTGGCATCCATTCTGCCCCTCAGGGATCCCACGATAAAGCACTAAAGTAATCTTTTTCAGAGGGCACTCATGAAACAAAGAACATTTGGGTCTCTGTGATTGCATTTTGTTCCAGCTCAAATGATATATTAATACAGTGGCCACAAATGTGGTCTTTTTAACACAATTTCCCACCATGACTTACAGCACTTTCATCTGTTTCCATAAATATCCTCTCTATATAAATTCATAAATGTGTCATATCCCTGCAATAGAATAAACTGTGCCGTATTTCACAGACGGTGAAGATAAAAAAAAGAGCAAGAGAGCAAGAGAACAGAAACCTGTGTTACTTCTATTTTCCTCTGCTGTCCCATCTTTGCAGTGTATTAACTAACAATTAACAAAACCTGTGAGAGAATAGCATTACCTTTTTATTTTGTAAAATCCAACATAAAGGATGATGTGAGTTTGAATTTGCAAAAATATTTATTTTAATCACAAGAAAATCTTGTTTTAAAATCTTGTTCTAAATATCAATGAATTGGCAAAGAAAGTAAAGTTGTAAAACGTCCATATTACTGAGAGGCAATTAAATATTATACAACTTCCATGAAATCAATGAAATGGTAATACTTAAAGTTCACATTAAAATCAAAATCAAAAGTCATTAACTTCCAGAGAAGACAAGATGTCCTCGTAATCCCGGCTCTCTACTGGGTCAATGGTGGCTTGCAGAGCTTTGGCAGAGTTCTTGTGAGCTTCCATAAACTTCTGCAAGTACTTGGAGGTGTAGAGCCAGTGATGTTTCAACACATCCTCAAGCTCAAAGGCCTTTGACTGACGTGCATTCATCTTCCGGAAACGCCTGAAGAGCTTGTTTGCCGACTCGTTCCCCTCGCTGGCCCAGGCTCCTATAGATCCATCTCTCTCTATGATTTCAGGCACATGGGCCAGGGTCTTGTGCAGGTAATTAGTTATCTTTCCATTGTACCTGTATTTGAAGGTAGAGGAGAGAAGGTCGGCAAAGCGCTGGGAGTTAAAGCTGTAGCGGCACAGCTGGTCAGGGCACTCCTTGGCAGGGCAGGTGGCTCGCCACACAGGCTTCATCTGGATGTAGATCCTCATCAGCTCCCTCAGGGCCTCCCTCCTCTCCTCTGAGGGTACCAGCTCACAGACAACCTCGACAGCCTCTTGGGTCATTAGCCTGCGGGCATAGTTCCCATTCATCCTCATCACCGGTTTAAGCTTCACCGTCTTCCTCAGCTGTTTATCCAGGGCTGCCCTCCAGCTGCGCCGTTCCTCCCGGCTGGGTTTGACCTTTTTGTACACCTCCCCGATCTCGTCCTGGAAGATTTTGTAGAACTCAGTGGCATTGCCAATGTCACAGTGTAGTGCATCCATTGTGGGCTGGGTCTCCATGAAGGGCTTGGCAGAGATCCCTTTCACTCTGTCCCGCAGCTCATCTACAGACTCAGAAAAGGGGTTGGTTCTCCATATTTCGTAACGATCTAGGTTCTGTTCATGACTGCGAGTGATGGAGTGTAGCACCATGTTTTGAGAGGCCTCTGCCCGAGTGGAGTCACAAAGAGTGCAGACGTAGGTGGACCCTGAGGCCTCCAGGCCCTCTACCTCGCGCACCATCTTCTCATCATATCCCGTGCCTCTGAAGTGAAAGCGGAAGGAGCGAGGTAGTCCACCCATGGACAGAATGAGCCTGCTCTCTGTCATTGCATTACGCTCTGCAACTACAGGCCCCAGGACAGTTGTGAGTGTCTCGTGGTCTGACTCATCCACAAACATCAGGCAAAGGGGCTTACAGGACAGTTCTGAGTTTGGCTTTGGCTCAGTAAAGATGGTAACCTTGTCCTCCCCCTCGTCTGCCAGGACAGAGACAGACATAACAGTGAAAGAAAAACGCACAGCCTTCTCAGGAACAGCTGGTCCTCCACCGTGCTTCTCGCTGACATCGCCCATGCCATCACAGGATTCCTTGATCATGACATTGAAGCCTGCGGTGCAAGCATTGTCTTCCATCCCACTCTCTCTCAGCCCCTCCATGATGTCCTCCTCCAGATCCTTTAATGCTGACACCAGAGCCACATCGTAGCGAAACCGTCGAGTGATGGTGTCAGCTGGGATGTCATCCACCGAGGAAGCCCATCCAGAGAGCCCATTAATAATGCCAACACTGCAAGATGTAGACACATTCCTGAGAGCTGGCTGCCATTCAAACTGGTGGAAGCCAGGGAGAAGCTCCTTTTCTGCAGCCCGCAAGGTGTGCAGGGGCTGAAAGATCTGGCGGCCGCTGGTGGCTTTGACAGTCCGGTACATCTTGTGATACTGGCTGCAGCTCAGGAAAGTGTTGACCCGAATGGCTAAGCACACAGCAGGATGCAACCCAAAGCCTCGGCCTGCAGAGAGAGAGAGAGAGAGAGAGAAAAGGAAAAGAGACACAGAGAGGCAAAATAAAAAAAGGAAGGAAGAAGAGGAAAGGATTTATTTAGAGCATTATTTAACACCAAACTGCCCATTCCTAGTGCTTTGAACAGAACTGCAGTGTCTAACATTTCCTCATTTGATATCCCACATTTAGAGTCATTTATACTGAGACAGACGAAATCGCAAATTTAACACCCAAATGCGAATGTATCATTGTCAAAAGCCCACAAGCCCATGATTACAAAATCCAATATTTCCTAATTTCCAAATGTTATAAGGGGACAGAGGGTGAATCAGCGAAGCTGGCAAAAGTGATGTATTGGCTACAGATGAAAACAGACACCAGCTGGCTTCTATTCCCCAGAGAGGAAGATGGTGCTGTCTGTGTAATTTGCAGATACAAGAGCTACTGATGTTGTTTTGATTCTAACAGCCCCTTCAGAAGAGTTGTTATTGTGCATTAAAGGGAGTGTGAGACTGACGGACAAGCAGGCAGAGAGTGAATGTGGGAGAGAATCAGGTAGAGGTTGAGCGCGCAACAGCGGTGATTCAATAAACGGAGATGGAAAATAATAAAATGTTTTTCAATCAAAATCTTCTTCACTCTCTTCAATAGTGAACTTTTCAACTTATTGCTATTCATGAGTTGACTGTATTCATCAGAGATAGGATAGAGATAATATTGATGAACAAACACCATTATAATCGTAATTTGCTTTGTCCCTTTTCTTTGGCTATGGAGAATTATATGTTGATTAAACAAAAGCCTTAATAGCATCTTACCTTGCATCGTGGCCTCTAGCTCATCTGCCTGACGGTGTTCATTCCCAGATCTCAATGCAAGCAGAAACAGAGTCTGACACACAGACTTCAGGTCGCCACCTTCCTCTTTGTCAGCGAACGCCTTCAGCTGGTTCTTCATATCCCTCAGCCGATGCTTCTGGGCACGACGGGTCAGCGATAGCAGGTGCTGACGGGGTCTTCCCCCTTTATTGGCTAGCAGGTAGTTGTCAAGTTCTGATGACTGCTGCTTATCGTCCTGTTCATCGAGCTCATGGCCCAGACAATGAGCTTTAAATGAGTCAAGCCTGACCTGCTTGCCACACTCGCTCCTGGGGCAGAGCAAAGACAGGGAATACAGGGCTGATAAGAAGGCTTTAGGGGGCGGGGCGAGATCATCAACGCTGCAGCACAAGTTGCAGGCCGGGCAGTGAGGCCCCAGAACGTGGTTATATTTTATAATACAACTGCGGCAGAAGAGGTGTCCACAGGGCGACTGGACTGGATCAGAGAGCAGGTGGTCGCACACCAGGCATTTGAAAGAACAGAGGAAGTCTACAGGTAGCTTCTCAGAGATGAGCTTGATATTCAGGTGGTCTTTCTGGCAGTGGGTAATGTTCCTCACCCACTGCTCTCTCTGGATGCTGGGTTTCCTCCATACCCTTAGCACAGGACCATGATGATGGTCTCCAAATGGTCTCAGAGCCCTCCTCTCACCAACGGCAATGCTGTCGCCATGGTCTCTCCTGGTCCTTTTTGCTAGACTCTGCGCTCTGGGAATGGCTTTCCGCCTCTTCCTCCCAGTCCGCTGGAATGAAGGTTTCCTAGGGGAGCAAAGGTGGCAGGTGGAAGAGTGGGGTTTCCACTCAGGGACTCTTGTTCTGGAGAAGCTGCAGACCCCCCCTCCTCTTATGGCAACCACCCAGCAGCAATGGCAGAAGGAAAGAGGGTGGACAGATTCTGTGTCCTCTGTCACGTCCACTTTAAAGACTTTGAGGACGACATCCGGCCAGCTGGTAAACTTGCAGCCCATTTTACGCAGAGCACCTTTGCTGACCTCATCCAGATCCCCATTAACATTGTGCATCGGTCCTTTGACTTTTCGCAGGACCACTCCACAGAGACGGCACAAGCACCTTTAAAGAGGAAAAACAATGCTGTCAAATTTTTTGAAAGAAATGCACAATAACGTTTACATAATATTGTGACATGTATTCACCTGAGTTGGTTCATGTGGGTCTCCATTTCCTGTAGCTTCATATCAACTCTCCGGCCAGGGCCCTCCACATTTTCCTGGCTTTTCCCCCCGAGGCATAATTTCATAACACTCCCTGGACCCATGCCATTATCGAACTCTATGTTTAGAGCTGCAGGAGGAGAGATCCCTGACAAGGCTCCTTTCTCAGGCCGTGTCTCAGTGGGCAGAGGTGCCTTCTCCATGGACCTCAGCCTGAAGAGTTTAAACTTCCACTGAGAGTACTTAGAGTGGGGATGGTGGAGCTCAGCCGGCATGGAGGATCTGGGGCCGTCTGTCTCCAGGCTCAACTCCGCCATGATGTGGCTTAGTCCTCAGACCCTGGAGACGAGAGGGGAGGAGAGGAGAGCTTAGTATGATGTATCACAATTGTATGAAAATAATTTCAGTTGTCCATGAGATACACGGTTGTGGATGCTTTAAAACAATGCATTAAAATGCTCAAATATCCCAAGTGCCTTCTCAGCATTGAGCTCATGACACAATCGAACAGCTTTCCTTGATTCCTGTTGAATTTATACACCAAGTACCCTGAAATCCCACTGAACAGAGAGTAGTGAGCCCCGACCTAGAGTGCTGTGTTACACCAAAAGTGGCATTTGGACCTTGTGTAAAATGCATGAGACAAGCATTTGGGGATCGATACAGCACAAAAATCTTCATTTCTCCCATCTCCAATCCCATCGCTCAGGGAGCCATTGTCATTTTTTTTCCCTTTGACACAGCGAGTTTGCTAAATGGGCAACCTTATCCCTGCAAGGCTGTCAATCATTTATGTTAATCATTTTCTTGGCTGGAGAGCGAATTTGAGCCCTGGGAGCCTCCGACTGGCATTTTCAATGTGAATAATAAAATAAGAGATACAGGAAACTTATTTCATAATACACACATATATTGACCAAATCGAAGGGAAAAGAAAACAAGAAAACCTCATATCGAACAAAGATCATAAAGAATTATTCCAAACACAACATTGTTAAATCTAGGAGTCGTATTTAAACAGCAAGTGCTCTTATGATTTGGCACAGGTAAGATCAATGATACTGCTGCACTGACAGGTCTTATTTCATCTCCTCCCATACGATCTACGTTCCGTTAAAAGTCCAGACAATAAAGCAGTCATACAATCTTACCATCGCACAACTATAGTGCACACAATCTAGCCTCTTTCGTGTATCCGTCTTTCGTGTATCCATCTTTCAGTTGCGTGTTCTCCCTGGGAGGCTTGAATCTGGCAATACTCCTTCATTTCCTGGCTTTCTGTGTACTTGGCAGGCTGAACTCTCCTTTGAGACAAACAGCTGAGCCTGTATGCATGTGTGTCAGCTGCGCTCTTACCTTGTTTTTTTGGTCTCAGCTGGCGTCAGCTCCCCTGAGGGGTCCTTTCCGCATGGGAGCACAAGGGAAGCCCTGGAGCCCGGCCCTACGCACCACATATACTGTCTATGATAGAGCCTCAGTTTAGAGCATGTGTTACCAGGAGTTATGGTTCCATACACTGGGATTGCCCCTGTCTGTCTCCTTGTGTCTTGTATTTATACCCTTCCTTAGATGGGATCCCAACAGTCAACTCCTTACACCTGATGCAGGCAGCTGATTTGAACAAACAAAACAAGGTCAACCCCAAAGCACAGTTGCAAACATGTGTATACACAGAATCCAACAGCATACCCCAAATAAGCCACACCACACTGATCCTCAGCTGGAAACACTTCTATGTCACCTTTATCTCCCCTTTCTCATATCCATCTGCAGGCTCACCTCATCCAGGTGGCCTCTCTCTGATAGACTGAGAGATACTGTTAAACTTATGAAAAGCTACAAGTGCAGAAACAAAACTGATGATAGAATAAATACATTTTCCCATCCCACGGACAAATAAAAAGTAGGACAGACATTATATTAAAAAAAAAAATTGTTTAATTACAAATTGTATTACGAATTTGACAATACTTTTAAAAACCAGCTGGAATAAAAGAGCTGGTTACAAGCACAGGTTGACCGAACGGGCCTGAATGCTCAGGAGGCCCCTATGCCAGAGCTTCTGTGTGAAGTCATTGTTAATAAATTTGCATTTATTGTTGCATAGTCAAAGGTTTCAGTCATTCCTGTCAATAACAGAACCCTAAAAGTCCACTGAAAACCGAAGGAATAGCCTAAAAATTCACTTTGAAGATCACACGGGTACATTTTAAGTGTTTATCCTCTCCGTTTATCTATAGGACTTCAAGAGTGATGTATATTTGTTAATGTGTTGTTGTACTGTTATGTGTCACTAAGTGTACCTAAACTGTAAATCCCGTGTGTTGTCACTTCAAAGAGAGAAGTTGTGGTTGACAGGAACTAATAATGTGTTTGTAAGTGTGTGTGTGTGTCTGTGTGTGTGTGTCTGTGTGTGCATGTGTGTGTGTGTGTGTGTGGGTGGGTGTGAGTGTGGAGGCAGCAGGAATAAAGAGCCATGTGTTAGTATGTGTAAGGGTGTGAACAAGGCAGTATATAATATATATGAGGAAGACAGATGGACTCTTAGCAACGATTTAAAAAGGGCAGAAATCGGTGGACAAAAACAGGAAATAATAGTATTTGTTGCATTTCTAAAGAGTGTCATTGTCAGTCTAATTACTGCATTATTGAGACTTTTCCCGCATCCCACTTCAATTTTCAGTGTCTGTGACTGATGCACCAGAAATACAGGTGGTGACTGCTGTGAATGAAAATGGTAAATACTGTGATAAAAATGTGTCATATTAGGTTTAAATACCAATTAGCAATGATGTTTGAATATGAAGTGTTTATCTGGCAATTACCATTTTTGAAAGGTGAGTTTTCAAAGCAACAGAGGTGCATAGAGGCCATAACCGCAATGGGTCAAACAAAACAGAAAATATGGTACTTCTTATTCCAAGGCAACAGTACTGTACTGTGCCATGTGTTCTTGGTTACTCTCATTTTGTCCACCCCTTGTGGTTATTATTTGCAAAAAAATCCTCTCTATTTAATGTCAGCACATTTCATTCATTTCTCCAAATGCTGTCTCCATTCAGAATGACATTTAATTAGACAGCATCGCTTGATGTAATGTCTCAGTAGGTATGGGGAGTATTTGCCCAAGATCATTCTTGTTTGTAATTATCCAGGGGATTAATCTGGTGTATTTGCCACAGGAGCCTGTAGCTGTTGCTTTGGATTTGCCAGCCAAGTCATTAGATACACAGTCAGTGGGCACCAAACAACAGTTGGGTCTCTCCCACTCTTGTCAGCTTAACAGGGGAGCAGGATGAATACTGGTGGGTTTTACGGCTTGTACTTGGTGCATATGGTCAAGTGTGACCTTAGACAGCAATGGTTTATTTGTTTCTTTGTGACTTATTTACAAGAAGGACAAATACGCAAAATAGTTAGGGTGGAAAAGGTGCTGTTTTCTAGGCCTGTCCAAATCCATAAGAAACAGCTTGATACAATGCTTGATACAGTGTCCAAGAAGAAGCAAATGATGGATTGTAGCAAGATGTTCCAAGCCTATTTATAGTTGATATTTAGATTTATGATAGCCAAGTAGCCTCATGTTTCCAAGGTAAATGACACACCTTGCACTGTGGCAGACGGGGACGGAGCTGCAGATGTCGGCCTGACAAACAAGCAGTGACCCCCTGAGACCCTCATCTCTCTGCGCCTGCTAATTGACTTGTTATTGATCAACTCAAAGACAGTCTGATTTATGGGGAAGAGGAGTTGTGGAGACAGCCACCTGGCATGGAGCGGAGTGTTATGAATGTGATGCGCAAACCCTGGGGGACTGGAGGCTGCAGTTTAGGAAGACATATAGGAGTTTGCAATGCACCAGTGAACTGACACCTTGCACTATAGGAGGGGGTGTTTTTTCGAACATGATGAATCTAAACAACACCAGTGAGCATGCAATGTGCGTGTGGACATCAGCATGTTGCAGGTGTGTGCAGTGGGAGGGATGAGTGGGAATATGGTTGGGGTAAAAACAGGGGGTTTTGTGTGTTTGTGAGTCTGTGCTGGTGTGTAGGACACACCCCGGATCAAGAAAAAAAAAAATATATATATAGTAGTCCTACTAATCCATCCTTGAGAAACTTTAGAATCATTACTGTTGGGCCTGTGTGTGTTAAACAAGGAGACAGACAAAGGAAAGAGAGGGAAGGTGTAAGAGGTGAAAGACAGAAGGGGGATATAGTAGTGATCTTGTGTAAAGGAGTTGCACAGGATAACAGGCTTAGCTCAGAGTAGAGAACACAAAGGGGCTTAAGGCTGATTGCAGACTGTGGCAAGGGATGGGGGGGGAGAGATCAAGCCTTCCAGGCAGAACTATGTAAGCCAAAGGTCCAAGAAAGACCCCCTCACAGCTCAAGTCACATGGCAGCTTAAGGAAGAGTGTCAATAGCAGAGATGGACAATGAATGTATTCCACAGCAGCATTGGTATCTTCTTCATGGGGAATAAAATGTCAGCACGGTCCACATTTGAATAGACCGACCAAAATTGCTGCACGATATTTCTAAATGTCAGGAAGAATGTGGGCATCTTTGCGATTATATTCAGGGTAAAGAGGGCATTTCGATCTCATATTTCCACTGAGTGTTAGGCAATATGCTGAGCATTGGGTATGCAAATTTTTAATTGCATTTTCATAGCACGTCCAAGAAGTTCTTCAGACTCGCCCAGCCGAGTCTGAGTGAGCCGCCTCCCACTGTCCACCTCGTCCATCCCTCGTCTGGAGACATGATTTGGCAGATTAATACTCACAGAGGTAGACTTCAATGCAGAGCTATTCGTCAAAGCTATACCTGTCAGAACAAACGCCTTACCCAACTACTCAAATCTCCCCTCATTCATCTCCCCTGTCTCTCCCTCTAAAAGTCTTGTTTCCCTCGTTTCGCCCCTCTCCTCTCAACCTCACCTCAGGTTTTGTTAATAATCAATTATGTGATTATTCGAATGATGTGATTAATTACTGGCCCTCCCTCCCTCTGTACCACAGGTTAGTGTGCCTATAATCACACAGCGACAGCCAGGGGACAGCTGAGTTGAGTGATTTTGTCTCGAGACCTGGCGGGACCCTGTATGACTTGGCTGCGTTTGTTGTCGGCTCATCCTGACTGATGAGGCTTTAAGAGAGAGAAGAGACACACCAAAACATCACAGCGTCTACAAATAACATCCCCCACACACTACTGTCAGCTTCTTGACACCAACAATATGTCCAGCTAGCAAAATATTCATTTTATTTGATAGTCTAGTCTTGGTGCTGCATTAATTCGTTCCAAGTCTTGCATGATAACCGTCCCTGAGGCGCTGCAGAGTTATTTTGGTTTTTGGACCGGTTCCATTCATCTTCTCTGTTCTGGTGAGTTAAACAATATAGAGAACAACTTAAGCTACAGCAACTTTGAGTGTCAACCTTTACAAAAAAGAAAATCCTGTCACCACAGCAAAATAGGCCATAAAGAGGTCAATAACGTCCAGCCATTGCAGTGAATACATAGCGTGTTTGTGCTGGTGTTTACAGCATTGCCCTCTGAATGGCGAGATCTGCATCTCAGCAATCCAGATGGATGTTGATCCACTCTCAATACAAATCAAACGAAATTAAACCCTAAGCCGGATTCAGGAGCACCAGAGTTGAGTGGGGAATCAAGACCAGTGTCTTTAATTCTGTGTTAATTAAATGTAGATTTCCCTGATTGAGGAGCAGTCTCTCTGACGCCAGGACCTCCAGTCACATAAACATCCACTCACCGGATTTGTCTTGTGTTTAAGCATGTATTAGTCCTCGTTTCCCAAACTGTCTGGTGCTGGTTTACACAGAAGGTCTGTCAGCTGAGGGATAGAAGCTTGCAAACAATGCCTCAAGATTTCCAACATTCAGCATCCATGAAGGGAGGATTTCTGGGCAAGTTGTTAAACACCTTGATAAGTGGGTTACATCCGTACAGTTTTCAGGTGAAATGAGAGTAATAGTGAATTCTCAGCACTAAATGTCACACTATTTGTCTCTTGACTGGTCATTCTCCCTCGTTCACTTCCCCACTCCCTCCCTCCGTCCCCCCTCCATCAATGTAATGAGCAAATCATGGCCACTAGGGAGCGATGTAGAGAGAAAATCGGTCCGATTATATGTCAAGGAGTGTGAAAAGAGTAGCGCTGTTGTCTGTCAACTCTAACCCCAAGCTGTCTGCAGTCTTACCTTTCCACCGAACACAATGAGCGCTTTTCCCACACGTAGATCTGCTTATTATTTCCCTGTCATTTAACTACAAAGTCCATTGTAGGAAATGCCAGGACAGCCGTGCCCTTTCCTGCACTAGCTCTGCCAGAGCTCAGACAAGGGTACAATGGACACAGTAACACGCGGCTATCCAAGGCTGATTTAGAGTGACTGGTCTTAAACCAGACTTATAAAGTACAGTAATTATAGGAGGTAAAGGGAGGGGCTGTGAAGGATGCTGTAGCTCGGTGGG